TACCCGCTGGACAACGCCACAGCCTTTTCTAACGTGTTTTGTCCTCGCGGTAATCGAATGATTTCCTGAAAAAGGCGATGTTAGCAGCAGCCCCGCCGAACGCTTTTCCGTGGAGGGCCACTACTCGCTGGACGACGCCACCGCCTTTTCTAACGTGGTTTTTTTCTCGAAGTAAATCGGATGATTCCCTCAAAAAAGGCGTTTGCAGCAGCTCCGCTGAGTGATTTTTTTTTTCCTGTGGCGGGACGCTATGCGCGGGACGACGCCACCGCCTTCTTAAACGCAGAGTCGCCACGCAGTGAATCGAATGATTCCTCCGAGAAAGGCGATGCGGAGCTGCCCCTTCCCTCCTGGAGAGCGTAGTGACGGAAGACAAGTGGCCGAGCGGATGCTCAGCCACCTCGGATCTTCCCACATCGGCGACCACACCGCTCCCAGCTGTTGGCACCCTCCTCTCGGAGCTGCCCGGCATAATCCAGGAGGATGTTAACACAAGGGACTTTCCGTCCCTCGCCTCCCTCTGCCCTGATCGGATGATCTGGCGGCAAGGTTGGCTCTGCCCCAGTTCGTCGCCCTGACCCCATCTGGCCTCGCTGTCCACCTTTGCCTCCATCTCCAGAGTGGAGGGTTTTACCGATCTGTGTTTTTCCCTCGGTCCCCCCTGCTGGAGGGTCCCGTCACCCCAGAGGCACTGTTAGGGGCCAATTTCAGGACCATCCTTGAGGAATCGCAGAGGTCCGAGGAGGTCTCAGAGACTGTACACCATCTGGTGATGTCACAGTCCATCTGCCCCACCAGCGACAGGCTTAAAGGCTATGCCTATACTCATACAATCTGGGGTTATTGTACGTAACCAACGTTTCTTTATAGGATGTGTACAATTCCAACTAAATTAAAAAATATATATAAACCACAATCTGTTCACCAAACTGTATTTTCTGTGCATCTACAAGTTACATACCGTTCAGCAGCTCTGAGTTTCTCAGCCCCCTGTGTGTAAACAGCCATAGACCAATCCACACAGCGTGCGAAGCCTTCCTTCAAAAGCAGCTCCGTTATATTACCATTCTAAGACACAAGTAAACAGACAGGCAAACGTAAGAACGGACAAGGGCCAAATATGTATGATTCTGTCAACACAAAGCTCTGATTCCTGTAGTTTACCGGGTGAAGGATGGTCCCCATTATGATCTGGTTGTGGCAGCTCTCGAGGATGATCTGAACGTCTCGCTGCAGAAGACGGGACTCTGTGAAGAACTTGGCCTCTGCTGCAAATGGCTCTGGTGTTTCTGAACCGTCTGCTTCCCTCTTGAATGTGGGACACTACAGAAGTAGATACAAAAGCCAAAAAAAAAACATGTAAATTAACAGTTGAACTTTATCTTTATCAATGGACAAAAAGCTTTTCTTGGATGAGCCTTTTCTCATCCACACTCCAAAAAGTTGTTTACAGAAATTTCCAGTCATGTACTAAAGGAGTACATTTTGAAAATCCACTCCTTTAACCAATGTCACCTTGTCTTACTTGCAAAATGTAATCTCTTTTTGAGTGAAGCGAAACAACAGCCAGATGAGCACAACAGGCGCGACGAGCCTTTGTACAATGAGACAAAGAACACCTTGAAATGGATGTAATGTCTTCAAGTAGGAGATGAGGAAGATTAGTTATCTTAAGTGGCCTATCGGCAAAGCAAGACTGAGTGAAAGACTGATAGGGAAATTTAGTCACACAGATATATGACACTGGCAGAACAAACAAACTAAAAAAAGTGAGACAAAAGAATGTATTTGTAAAATTACCTGGCTGCATTACTTTACCATGTTACTTCCAAAGTCATTACATAATTGGAAAAACAACTAGAGAAACTGCATTTCCTGCGAAAATGCAGTGTGAAAGCTTATTGCTGAAAAACAGCTGAAATTAAAAACAAACCATGCTGAAATGTAGCTGAAATGGAAGAACAAGCCTAAATTAGTAGAAGAAAGCAGAAAGAACATATATTTGCTGAAATAGCTTTAAATAGTCAGAAATTAGCTGAAAATTTTAGGAAAGTAGCTAAAAAAAATGGTTGAAATTAGCAAAAGAAATGGCTTAAGTAGCTGAAAGGCAGAAAGAAACTTAAATTACTAGAAGGAAGCAGAAAAAACTGAAATGAGCTAAAAATCTGGAATTAACGGAAATTCAATCAACCTTTATTTATACAGGTTAATCCCATTGAGCCTCAAGGACTCATTTACAAGAGAGACCTGAATTTCAGCCAAGCGTGACAACAGTGGACAACAAAGACAAAAATAGACGAACATAAAGGATGCATATAAATTTGAAAAATAAAAATAAAAATTTAACAAGTGAAAATAAAATGGTAATTAAAAGGAAAAGTAGTGAAAAAAACAGCTAGATTGTAAGGCGGTGTAGAATACCAAAAACAGGAACATGTCTGCATGAAAAAATAGCTATAATTAAATAGGAAATAGCTAATAATATTTAATAGCTTCAATAGGAAATAGTTATAACTAGCATAAAACAGCTACATAGTAGCTAAAAAAGCAGAAACTGCTGAAACTAGCATTACCACTCGTAAGCTGAAAGATGCATAACAAGCTCAAATTGGCAGAAAGAAGTTAATTAGGCTGAAAGTAGCAGAAATTACCATGAAAAATGTGAATGTTTCTTAAAACAGCTGAAAATAGCTCAAAATTGCACAAACAAAAAAAGGTAGCTGAAAAGGTAGAAGACGCTTAAATTAGCAGAAGAAAGCAGAAATGAAATTTGCCCAGTTAGGCTGAAAGAAGCAGAAATGAGCATGAAAAAGTGGAAATTATCTGAAAAAAGCATAAATTGCCAAAAAATCAGTGAATAAATGCTAAAAAAAAAAAAAAAAAAGGGCAGAAAGAAGCCAACATTACCAGAAGCAAGTGGCGCGAGCAAATTTTTTGCTCAATTAGGCTAAAGTAAGTTTATATGAGTGGAAAAGATGTAGAATTGGCTGAAAAAGCTTAAATTTGCATAAAAACAGCTAAATAGTAGCTGAAATAGCAGAAAATGCTGAAACGAGTAGAAAGGAGCATAAGCTGAAATTAGCAGAAATAATTTAGAAGAAGCACAAAAATCTTGTAGTTAATAGAAAGAATCTGAAAGGAGCACAAAACAGCTGAAAAAAACAGCTGAAATTTGCTGAAAAAATATATATTTGCACAAGGAAGCTGAAAGCTGAACCGGAACACAATGTGAAAGGAGCAGTAAAAGGTTGTAAACAGTGCTAAAGACTTGAAGGATGGAAAATGAGCTCATTTAATTTCCGCTGAGGAAAAAAAGGTGGCAGAAAAGGCTAAATATTTCAAAAAGCTAAAGTTGCACCAGTACCAAAAAAAAAAAATCATAGCACCCTTCTCCTGAAGGAGCTGAACGTTTTCATGTATGAATTGTTGAAATAGCACAAAAATTTTGGAACAAGATGCCGAAAAACGTACTGAAGATAAACGATCACAATAGTGTGAATGCTTCCTAAGCGTTCACAACACGGATGTGGAAGGAACTATCCCAAAAAAGGTACAAGTAGTTAGCGTTTCTATAATCACTGCATTTGCATCTACTGTAAATATGTTGAGTAGTGGTTACCTTAACACCAGACAGCATTACAGTGACCAAGTAGTAGTCGGGAAGCAGCAAGGCACGAACAACACTGCCGTCACGCACGTGCTCGATGATAGCTGAGGGGTGGAAACGGAAGCATGTGAGGGGGGGGCAAGCAGAGAACATTAAATTACCATATTATGATAGAGGTGAAGCTGTCAGGTGGCCATGGTTATGATCCAGTTTATAATACTTTCAAGAAAGCGCAATGAAAGATCACTACTGATGCCAAAACAAACATCTGGACTCGGCAGTTATGTATCATTTACTCAACAGTAAGCCAAAAATGGTTCCTTAAAGGTTTGTTCTTTGGAAACTCTTGGCTTCTTTTCAAACTGTACTGCACTTAACAGCAATATTACCACAAAATTCCATCTTTATTAGATACAAACGTATGTTTAAAGGTTACTGGAAGATGTTGTGCTTGTTCACAATATTAGTTCGTGTTAGTTAACTTGTATGTTAGTTTGCAGAATAAAACGTAGCACCGTGTTTAGAAAACCTAACTATTCCCACCAATGTCTCAGTCCTAATGCTCAAGACTAATGAACTTAGAGATGTGCTCTGTAAAACCTGAAGTGATTTTGCACATCATTTGGTCATAAGTCAGTTTATGTGCGAGTTTAAAATTTGAGAATCAGAGATAAAACCATATTCCATACTTTCATTATTTACGTGCTCCAATAGGACTGAAGCAGCGCATTTTAAAATAACGCTGAACGTCTTGTGAATGGTGAGAACAGGAGAGGAAAGCAAAAAGTCATTCCCTGTTCATTTTCCCCCATTCAATTAAAGGGTTGTGAAATGAGCTGAGCCTCCATTCCAGTCAATCGTCTGGAAGAAATTGAGTAGCGCATTACACCTCGAGCAGGTCAGAGATGAGACTTGGGAAACGTGCCGGCGAAAGGTAGCAGAACAAAATATCCTGATGTAAAACTGCATTTCAAACACAGACATCAAATAAGAGAAAACAGAAGTACAGGTACTGAGGGGTTTTATGCACCATTTATTTTTCTCTTTGTGAGTATTTAAGTGTAAAGACCCCTCCCAAACTCATTACCATTGATGGGTTTCTGATGCAAAGAGTCCACAAAGTTGCGAGGGCTCTCTAAGGTGTACTTGAGGTCGCGGATTGTGTACGCGCCGCCACCCTCACTCCACATGCCTTTCTTGGAAGCCTTTGCCTGGTCCTCCAGCTCACAGAGTCTGACCTGATCTGGACTGGAAACAGAAATGTTTTTTAAAGTTAGTTTTGTAAAGACCTTGCACAAAGTGGAAATGTTAGCGATAAAATTCAAGTTACTAAATGTAAACGCAACAGATTTGCTGTGCTGCTTAGGATTTGACTTCTGAAGAGGCTGACTGCATTTCATTTCAGCTTATGTACATTAGTCTCTCGTTTATCATGGGGGAACCATACACTGAAGTCCCGCGATAAGTTGGAATAGTAGTACAAGTAGTAAGTAGTAGTTTATTTTAGTATTTATTTATACTTTTTTTTAAGCGTTTTAAACCCTTCTCACACTCTTGCAATATTCTAAACAATGTTTTTAAACGTGCTAAAAGAGCACAGAATGTCATGATTTCAGGTCTCTGCCTCCAGCTGTACTCTTGGCCACGCCCACTTCTCCGTGCTACACGGAGCTCAGCTGATCAGCTGCAGGAAGAAGCTTCTCCCACAGCTGTGGGCTGCACACAGGTGCTAAATCATTAAAAATAATTTATTTTAAATTTTTTTAAAAATCAATGCGGATCGTGCGGCTTATCCATCAATCAGCCAGTGTGCATTACGTCCAATCGTACTTTGAAAAACCGCGATAGAGCGAGTCCACGAAAAACAAACCGCGAAGCAGCGAGAGACTACTGTATAGAGCAGTAAAAGCATGGCACAAAATTTTACTAAACTTTTTAGCCGCAGTGTGAGAGCTCACCAGCTCAGGAGCAGCTGAAGGATCTAAAGTTAACATTTTTTTAAATTTACTTGTAAAAATAAAAAAATAAAAAACTATTAAATAATCACACCTACTTTATATTTTCTAACTGAAAAGACGGACTCTGTGTTTAAATAATGTAATGGAAACTCCAATCCAAACAAACAGCCGTAGATTAAATTATCTTTCTGACAAATTGAACTGTTGTGTCACAAACAATCAGCTGATGATCAGATTATGAACAGCCTAAACAAGTATGGGAGCATTTTATAGAGAAACAGCAGCAGCAAACACACAGCAAGCTTCAATTAATTCCACGCTGCTTCCCTAAATTGTGCATCCTAATGCGTTCAAGAGCTCTTGTGCATCTTTAATTTTTCAGAACTTCAAATGGCCAGATTTGTTTCCTGTTAAGTAATGGCAGCCCAATTGATAATGTTAAAATAAACATTACATGAACAGATTTTTGATGTGTTGCTTTTTAAAAGTCGTTGTTTGATTCAACAAAGTGACTCTTAATTTTTTTTAAAACAAGTGCATAAATATTATAGCCTCTTCTTCAGCGGTGTGGTCTTAATTGAACTTTTGGAAAAGTGCCCAAAACTTTAATTTCCCCTCTGCACCGGTTTAACTACGGACTTCTACATGAACTAAAACTGCCTACTGAGCAAGGATCGAAACTTTCTGTTGGACGTTATCTAAATTTAAGCTACTTAAAACTTAAGCACCAAACGGGAAAAGAAAGTGACAAATATGCATAGAAACCAAGAAAGCAAAGAATAAAAAATATATTGTAAATTCAATGGACAGCAGGCAATCTTAAGCAGATTGTTTAGGAAAAAATAGAAATAAGTTCATGTGTGGAGGCAGATAATGGTGAAATTATTCCTTGTCTCTCCAAATAGACCAGTTTTAGGTCAGTAACTCCCTCCAACACATTGCTTCAAATCAAAAACAGATATTGACGAGTAAGAAAGTGCAACACATGGAGTTTACTGAAAAAGGCCAAGGAGAAAACTTTCCAATCCCTTATATGTAAACATGCTGTAGGCTACATCTTTTATCTAAATGACTTAAGTACAACCTTAAATACTTTAAATAGATATAAAATGTTATAACTCCTTGTTGTCTTCATGTTGTTTAAAGAGACTGTAGGAAGCCATGTCCTCGAACCCAAGTGAAAGTGTTTCAGTGTTATCGAGCGGTGTGGCTCTGATGGAAATCCACACCCCCTGGATGTTTATAGCCCTCAACCAATTCTCCTGTAGGGCTCCAGTTAAATAGGAGCAATGGGGGATTATAAAGTGCAGTTGGTCTCCATGTTAATGTGCCTTACTTCTGCACTGCTGAGTGGTACTTATGTGGCCCAATCAGTCACTCCCCGTGTCTGTGGTTTTAATTTACCCAAAAACATAATTCTGGGATCCACAGCCACCATGGTAAGTTGATTAAATCTCGTTTCAAAACAGCACTCAAAGTAAATGATGGACATTGGTGTAGACGTTTATAAAATTTTAATAGACCATCATTTGTCGTCTCATAATCACGATTCATGTCCGTTTATGCCACTCTTAACATATAGGTCTACCAATACTTTTAATGTACTTTTTTAACAAAAGCAAGCTTTATGTTAAATTCAATGCAGAAATATATATTAAAGGCCTAGCATTCGTGCCACCTTTTCATGCCAGCATTTTAAAATACTATGAATGATGTTAAGAGCAACCTTATACAACATTGTGAGATATTAGCATTTGATTCGTGATGAGGAGAAGGGCTTTCAGCTACTACCACACCAAATTTAAGCTCAACACCTGTAAATTTATAGCGTTAAATCTATTTTTGTGTTGTCTAATATCAATTAGCTGTGGGGACTAGCTTGAATTGGGTTGACTCCAAATGTTAATTACCGTAAATTTTGCTGTATAAGTTGCAGTTTTTTAAATAAATTAGCATGCCTGCAATTTATACAGTGAAGCGACATATTTATGTGTTTTTTCCCCCCATACTTAAAACCCAATTTTTGGCTGAGATCTGACAATTTCATTCATTCTGACATGGAAAATATTGAACACTACCATTTTCAGCCACTAGAGGACCCTCGACTAATATGGCAAGCCAAGTGTCTCATTAATAGGTAAAAGTGGCTTTTAATGAGACGCTTGACTTGTCATACCAAGCCACCTTTGTCTCACTCCAGAAATCCTGAAACAAACATCAAATCAGCTGCATTTTGCCACGCCGCCCAGGTGAAATGCAGCTGATATGACCATCAAAGTGCATTTATTAAGGAAAAGTTAAACTGAGATACACCTTTGCTATAAAGTCGAGCAAACAAATAATTATTTTAAGTGTTAATCTTGTTAAATTCTTGTTAAAATCATACCATGCACGCTCCCACGACTGCCATTTGGCAGCAAATCAATTTTTGGCACACCGGCCCACGTATCCAGGTTGTCAGCAGTGATGCATAACACGACGCGTCAGCAAGATGCATAATAGATGCGACATACGGTGAAGCGACGTATTTATGGTTTTTCCCCACTTTATTAGACATAGTTGGACTGATGCAACTTATATAGCAGTGTGACGTGTACGGCGGCAAGTCCGGTAGTTGTAGATGCATCTTAACATTACTTTATAAGATCTGGAAAGATTTCTCACTAAAGTTTCTCCAGTGGTTCATTATATTGTGCCAATATGACAAAAGAACATGCATATACATGTGCAAAAATATTATGATCATCTTATCTTTGGTGTCAGGTGATATTTGAAAAAAATATGCCTTTAGAGTCATGAAAAATGCATGTGTGCACATAAAAGCAGCACAAATAAAAAAACATGTACAAACCAACAAGACAGCAGACGCCAGATGTTTACATACACTATATAGAAAATTGTGAAGATTGCCAATTCTCTTCATGACATTTAGGCTACTTTTGCCCCATGATGTCACAAAAAAGTAGTGTTCAAAGTGGGCCTCCAATTGACTTAATTGTTGTCAAATAACCTACTGAAAGCTTCCAAAGCCAAGAATTCAGCATATAGGTTTTCTCAGATTGTTTAAAGGCAATGCAATCTTGGTGTGTGTGTGTAGATGGATGGATACATAGATACATAGATGCATAGATGCATAGATGCATAGACAGACAGACAGACAGACAGACAGACAGACAGACAGACAGACAGA